GATCAGTAATATACTCCCTGCTCCATATTCGCAGGAATAAAACGGGCGAGCGTAAATGCTTCATCGAGGAGATTGAACTTTTCTGTCGCGAATATCTATCTGTCACGCGTTTTCGCACGAAATCTATAGTTTTTTTTTTTTATCAAGATCGATATTCCCCTGGACACAACGCGTATTCATACGAAATCGCGATTGATTTTATTCATGACCTTCGTCACGGAAGTACTTTGGATGCGACGGGGGGGAAAAATAGCGGAAAGTTTTCCATTTTAGACGAGCCGATAAAAAAGAGAGGAAGAGAGGACGTGTCCGTACATATACCGCTTCGAGGACGAACTGCTTGCAGCACTACGTGCCTTCCTCATCGTTCGACTTACTCGCCTATTCTCTTATTCGCTTCCCGATTTTTCAACTAAATAACCGAGGAACTCGATCCAGAAGTATCTCCCTAGAAATCCAATCTAAACAAGAGTTTGCCTAATATTTTAAGAATGATAATTAGGAATCACGTCGCACAAGACGGAACGGTAAAACTAAAGAGACGGTGAACCAGAAGACGCGATACTCGGCCGACGAATCCTTTGCTTCGAAGGACTATAAAACTTTGGAAAGGTAGAAATCTCGGTGTTCTCCGGCCCCGACATGTTTACGAGGTAACGAGCTCTCTGAATATCGGTATCTTCGATACGATATCGCTCCCGTGGCCAGGTATTCTACGCGCTCCTACCGTGAATCGTCCCACGTTCGAGGCTCCAGGAGAGAATTATTTACGAGGGCGCGGCGGCGAGCGAACGCACACGGACCGTTCCAGCACGCGATAAACATCGGATGCGATACGGAACAGAAGTTGAAGAAGGCGTGCCCGGCGGTTGACGTTTCCTGGTCGAAACAATGGGACCAGGCTACTTCGCGGAAGGCCGTGCCCGTAAGATTCGAGGGAGAAAAGGGTGCCGGAGCACTGCGAGCGGTTAACGTTTCCTGGGAAGATTTTATGAAGCAACAGTGGTCGGACCCCGAGGCGAGCTTGCAGAAACAAGCTGCGTCGTAAAAATTACGAGAGAAACTAGACACGCTGGGTTTCATTATTTAGTTTGTTTACACTACAGGAGCGCGTAAATGTTTGCTCGTCGGATCTCAGTTCGATAAATGTATTTTTTTACGGATTAATGGGACAGTCGTTTAAGCAAATGTTTGTACATCTGTAAAATAAACGGTGAAATACATCCACTCGAATTTATTCCAATTCATATGTTGCGAATACGTTTAGTTAATAAACAGAAAATATCGATCTCTTTATTAGATGTTCTAATAGCCGCAGTTGTGTACTCGACGGACGAGCAACAAAAGCGTCACTTCCGGCGGTACTCGATATCCGATTATTCCGGGACCGATCACGGTCCCTGGGAATTACTCGAGTTACATACAGAGCCGGAAAAATGATTCGAGACCAGCAGCCGATTTTTCGATACCGTTCGCGGCTTA